AAGGAGAAGAATTTATTGAAACCACAATTGTTCACTCTAAATATTTTGTTCAGAGTAAAGGAATGTGTCAGCCAGAGATCGAACCCCGGACCATGTGCATAGTTGACGAGTGTCCTAGCCGCTATGCCACTGACGCAGAGTTTCAATGATCTCTCTAAATGATGATGGTTCATTAGAGAATTTGCATTGATATTTAAGGATAGTCGAAGTAGAGTATGGCTGACTAAAATAAATTTTATATTAGTCATGGACTGTTGGTGTAGTTGTGTTTTCCCAGCTGAATGTTCTAATTACGGAGGTTTTATTGTCTTTCTAGACAACATTCTCAGTGCTGACTGGTTTCAACGTAGAACTTTGAACAAATGTACAGCAGTTTGAGTTACCATACTCCTTCCATGTACCACAAAAAGCAAGGGAAGAGAATTAAGAGAGATTCAATGGAGGACAGAAAATATGAGGCAAAAAGAATAGTAATATGCAAAGAACAATAGAATTTTATTGGATATTGTAAATCACAAGGAGTGGATACATCTGAACCAACCAGTGAGACGATTGTCTCCAGCCATCATTGGTACTTACCATCCCAAAGACCCCAGCCAGTCAGGAAATCTGCACCTTCTTATTTGGCTGCCTGACCTAAACTAACTGTTATGGATTTCATTGACTGATGAAGTCATGTTTTGGTTTGATCACCACCACTAGCTCTTTTCCAACCTGATCCATCACATGTCAGCTAACATTGTCCATCGAGGAAGGCGGTCTATGGCTAGAAATGCATGCGTAACATATGTCCTAACCATTTCAATCGGTGTAACTTCACAACCTCGCCGATTGATTTCCCTTCCAAGTCACCTAGCACTCGACCGATACCTCATGTCAACACTGCTCACCTTATTATACCACCACCTAACACGGAAGACACAACTCAGACACTTATGATCAAAGATAGACAGCTAGCCTCTTCTCATCTTTCACTTTCACTGGCCGTGTCTAACTCACAGTCATAAAAGAAGACATCGTAACGTGATATAGAAACAGTTGGAGAAACTGCCAAACGGTATGCACTACTCAATTACATAGTGTGAGGAACATCCTAATATTGAAAAAAAGATTTGGTTGCACTGAAGGGAAAATTTTCTTTTCGGCAAAATCAACATCACTTTGGTTGTACATTAGTCTGATCATAGTAAATGGGTGAAAAAGTTCCCAAAAGTGTTTCTGGTCAAGGATAAGATTAATAAAATTACAAACAGGGATTCAGCCGCAATAATAAACAGGAAAATCACGTAAAACAAAGACATAGTGGGATCATAATTAATGAGAGAATTGACTTTGTGTGCAATTAGGGATTTAAAAAATATAGTAATCACAAAATATTGTAATTATGATCCTACTATGTGTTTTTCCTACCCGATCTTCTTGTTTATATTATTATTAAATTTGAGTGAATTCCGAATTTCCATTTACGCATTTAGAAAAAATTACAGATTGAGCGAAGAAATGCGCATTACATTTGGTTTCCTTGATGAATTTTGATAGAGAAAGAAAGACCAGATTTTCAGTATAAAATGATATCATCATTCTATTTCACAGGTTCTCATCAGCTGCCACTACTACCTGAAATTACAATGGTCATAACTAAAACATTTCATACTTCATTGTTTGAAAGGTAATACAGAAAAAACATTATAAGGTGAACGCATCTGGAATATAAGTATTATAATTTATAGTTTAAGTTACCATCAATTTATATACTATCAGACTATGAAAAAAGAAAAAAAGAGGGGGTGGGTGAGAGAAGACAGAAAACAGAAAAATCTAATAAACACTGTCAACATGGCAACTCAAGAAGGTCAAAGTTCATCAGTTTGAAAACTTGGTTAGTGAGTTGTGCCTACTGTGTGTATGACTAATCAGTGTAATGAAAGTGATATGGTTACCAAGGGAGTGAGAGATTGACCACACTCTCTTTCTGTATGCATAAGTTTGGTTTGTGACGTTTGGTTGCATTTGCTTCAACAGTAAGTCGTAGTAAATTTGCTGTCCTTTGTATGTTTAATATTTTGAAGGATTTGAAATCTCGACAAAATGACCCGTATCCACAAGGTGTCTGGTAACTGAACTTTGTAAATATCTGCTTCCTTTTTGATATAAGTTTCTTGGAATATGCTCTGAAAACTGGATAGAAACCCTTCTTTATGTCCTTCCAATGTACTTGCTGCCTCAGGTACACGTAAATTTATAAATGCAGTTGTAGGTAATATCTACTCTCTATTAACTTTCAAATAATGAAGTATGAAACGTTATTATTATTTATAACCATTGTAATTTCAGATAGTTTGCAGGTGATGAGAACCTGCGAAATAGAATGATGATATTATTTTATACTGAAAATATGGTCTTTCTTTTATATCGAAATGTGCATTACTTTTTTCAATTAGCAGTTCCTCATCATCGCCCGGCTCTACACTAATACATATAGTTTCTTACATCAAAATGTTTTACCAATCAAATGGTTATTTTAGTTAATCAGTTTTAGGTATAATGTTGGGGGGAGCGTGAAATTAAGAGTTTAAAAGTCATCAAAACATCAGTTAACTAATAGATTTTAGTAACAAGGGATATCTAAGTTTTGAAGGAGAGGGGTGAAAATTAATTACGGAATTTAAGAGCAGTTAGTTCTTAGGCGTTGGCAACAGGTTGTGACATAATTAAGAGATTTGTAAAATAGCAATGATGACTAAGAAGAATAGGATAACTCATAAGAGTTAGCTAGAATTGTAAAAATTAATGAAGCCAAAAGATAGTTACAAGGAGAGGGGAACAAATCGTTTCTAAAAACTTAATACATATAATATAATTGGCCATGGCAAAGAAAAGGGATGTAAAAATTTCTTTTGAATACACACAAAGATTTGGCTTGTTCAGATGAATTCCGATTACCTCTGTTGTATTCGTAAAAGTCCTACTCGTAGACTGTGCGGCGAGAGGTTGGATGGAAGACGATTAGTAACTTTAGAAGTTTTGTTAGAGTCAACTTGATGTAAACTATCGACAATATGAGCCAGTACTGAGTTGCGTATGACAGCTTCATTCGGACCTTAGTCAAACCAAGATAGAAGGTGTTCAGAAATTCGATGGTGAATGACTATTTTTATCCTTACTGGCAATTGTATTAATTTGTCCCTTTATTGGTAATACTTCTGGGAATTTCTAACCCATTTAATATAACTAAACGAATGTACAGCCTAGCTAATGAATGAATGAATGAATGATAATAGCTTTATTCCAAAACAGTACTTGTGATACAGAATGGAATTCTCAGCATTTCACTGCAATATTGTGCATCCAGTTAGTACATTAACAATAAATAAAGTTCTACATAGATTAAGGTAGTCTAAGTTAGTTTTGACAACAACATATTAGCATGTCGGTAGCAAAGTCAAAATTAAACAGTGTTAGAAGGTGTTAGAAAAGTAGGTGCCAGCATATTTACTGGCGTAAGCATTAACAAAAGAAGATAGAAACAAAGCTGCACATAACAGAAAAAAAGAGAGAGAGAAAAGAAAAAGAAAGAAAGAAAAACGTTGTATTTATGAATGATATGAGTTGGAAAGACGAGATCCAATTGTTCTACTGACTATTTAATAAGTTATATTTATCACGCCTAATGCTTTCTTTGTCGCACAGAACACGAGCTAAGTAGGTATGGTTGAGTTTTTGTTCTTATTACTGCGAGCATATAGTTTTCTATATAGGTTTCTGGTCTGCCTGCGTGGTGAGATACAAGGGAGAGTTACGAATGAAGAGAGTGTTGTGAGTCATATAAAATGGATTTTGCCCATTTTTCACATGAGTCCGTGTGCCTGTCCACCAGAATATTAACAGGCTGGTTAAGTGCACATTGCTCAATAGCCCAGGAAATACTAAGGGTGAACAATAGAGAATAATAGGCATCGTCGAAGAGGAAATTTTCTCCTCTGCAACTATCTGTTTACTATTCTTTATAGCCAAAGTTTTAATAATTTGGATTTTTTCAACTGGAAACTTTATTTTCAAGAAAGAACTTTAAACTGCAAACAAATGAACTTCTTGATAAGAGCTTCATACACACTCGAATCGATAACAGCATCTTGAGGTAAATTCATGCGTATCATACAGAACAATCTGCCTCCGTAGTTGGTTTGTGGTGAGTTCTACTGATAAGATTTATTAGTAGTATAGAAAGAGACGTTCATTAGCATAAAATGCATCAAATGTAGCAGGGAGATAGATTTGATGTCAGAGAAAGCAAATGATAATACAGCGTTGCGGAGTTACATAGAAGACGTGAAAGAAACACAAAGAAATTTTCAAGTATTAGTTTTTGTAGGGATCTGGTTTGATTGGTTGGGGATTTCATCATGAGGTGACACATCAGTTAGAGAAGCATTGGAAAACCTGCACAGCAGTTTCGTCCTAGTCTGGGGCTCTTCATTAGTACGACGCACCCAACACCAGTGTTCAAGCCCAGGACCTTGTAACCAGAAGGTCCGTCTGGTTATAAAGGCATGGCAGAATTAGCAGGCACAACACGGAAGATTTGTGCAAATAATGCGTTGAAGATAGATTGTACAGTCTGGCTATGTAGAGATACCAAATTGCCAAGTCCATCGTCTTCTACTGTTTCGCGATGGTGGAATACTCGCCAACAAAAAGGTTCGATTCGATTTCCGACTAACACAATCCTAGACCTCACCTCTAGTTAACTAGCCCACAGTAGGCGTGACGAAAGAGGAAAGATTAAATGTAAGTTTAGCAGTCCCATCCTATAAGAAGAAGACCTCCGCCAGTGAAGTTTCAAGGGGTAAAGCTCATATTCCACTTGGAATGTAAAACAAGAAGTGACAAGAGGGGAAAGGCGAAAGAATTCAACAGTTGCCTTCCTGTCCTTAATTAGCTTTCAAGTTAAGTTTAAATTTTAAACTTTTTCAGAAAAACAACACGAAAATTATACTCACTTGAGCTTGTAGCGCAGCAAATAAACAGGCCTCTTCATCTGTGACTTCTAATATCTCCGAAATAATTGACCACTTAGCTTGTTCATACAATTGATTTATACGAATTGCATCATATTTAATATTTAAATCATAAAACGTTCCATATTTATAGCGTAATAAAAGTGTTGGAGGTTTTTTAGCCTCCTCTTTACTACATTATTGTTAGCATTCGTATTAGCATTGCCAACGTTAGCATTACTAGTTGGTTTGTTCTGATGATCACCATTTTGTAGATGAGTTGGTGAAGCTGGTCGGCTAATTGGCGGAGAGTTTAAATTATCCAACTTCGATAGATAACCACGTGCATCAATTCCTTGTTCCAAGAGAGATTTAGATGAGTCTAACCAGGCTGCATTCAGTCGAACTCGTTGAGTATAATTACTTGGTCGAACAATTAATCCTTTTTGTATAGCATCTTCTACACTCATAGTTGGACTGAATGCCAACGAAGAATCATCTAGAATACGTAGATCAAAAGCGATTGGAGAGTAGGTGATTTTAGAGAAATTTCCAGAATCTGGACGTGAATATCGATGATAATTTGGATAGAAATGTGTACGTTTATCACGGATTCTTGGGGGGCCGAAAAGATGTGCTGATTGTCTTGATGAAGAGGAGCTCTTTCTTGATGCACCTTCAGAATTAGCTCTATCCTGTCTATCGGCCTCATTTGTATTATTCACACCATTCATTTGGAACAAGGATTCTCGACACAGTGTTTTATACTGTGAATGTGTTGTATTTATTGTAGCACTACGTTGAAATGTAGCATGCCTACCTATCGATGATATAGTATGATAACGTCGATCAATAAAACCTGGAGCAAAACGTGAATGTTTCAAGTCATTCTGTTGAATAGGATGAGCAAGTGACAACTCCTCAGGATGTCGTATATTTAAATAACGACAAAGAGACAGAGTGACCCGGAAAACTGGTTCAGCATAATTAACATCAACAAATTCACGAATTTGTAAATCTGGCAACTGGACATGTAAACTTCCATAGATTGATAGAAAGCGTAGTTTAGCATCTGCTTGTAAACCATATTGATTTAGACTGGATTGAGATCTTAACAACCATTTTGATCGTGCTGGCCACCATAAACCATAATCACCCCAACCAATTCTTACAGAACTTGACCGCAAACTTATTTCATTTGGACCCAATGGTTTAGGCAGTGGACATGTTAAGCCTTCAGTTAACTGGACTAACAACTCACCGATAGACCATTCACCGTGTACACGAATTTGACGATCAATATTCAAATCATCTATGTGTACTGATAACAACCATGATCCATCGACGTATTCCCCGTCGGCAAGCATACTGTGTTAGTTCTTCTGTCTGCTGGTTTATATTGATTAACTTTCAGTTAAAATAGAATTTTCAATCGTAGAACCAAAAGTAATTTAATAAATCATGGTAATTCCACCATATAAATATATATATACATATATAAATGTAAATTCCACTTTGTTGATATATTTGAGGTATTCTATTGAGCAAAAATAAAAATCCGTTTTGACAATACACAAAATATAATCTGTATAAATTTTAACCAATTTTCACTGACTGGTAAAACAGACGTGTTCTTCTATGAAAACCGCTTATATACTACTTCGTTATTGACCAATCATAACTAGGGATAAATTTAGCCTTGTAATTATATTAATTAACCAATCAAATGTGAGATGGATGTTGTATTTTTTATTTTTTGCTAGTTGATTGATTATTGATTATTATTATTATACTACTGGAATTGTATGTCTACTTAGCGCAGATTGTGGTAGTAGTTAGCTGGTTGGTTGGTCGGTAGGTATGCCTAGTTGGATTGGAAACAGGCTGGCTGGCTGGCTGGCTGGATGGATGGATGGATGGGACAGTCGATGTGCATTTATTTAATTTTGTTTCACGTGTTCATGAGAATATATATGTATGTGTATAGTCACATTTCACGTTGTTGTTTATAGATAGTTTGTTCACTAGTATGCAATGGTGAGATATATTCTTATTAACTGGCATATTAGAAACACAAATCTCAGCCTAACGAAGGACTGACGACAAACCTCAGTCAATCATCATATATATATATATATATATATATATATATATATATATTTAATGCGACAATAGAGACAGCTTAACAATAATTATGTTTCTCGGTGTAATAATGGATAGATATGGGGATGAAAACGACATAAATCACTTATTCTCTAGTATATCCTCGTGATTCACGCGCAGCTACCACTTGAGATTGTTGTTTAATATATTTTATACACGGAATAAGTATGCGCAAAATAGCATCAATGAAAATTACTTGAAGTATTTCAATGAAGGTCATTCGTAGTGCATGATAAGAAATCTAATGTGATTATTGAATGATAACTAACTAACTAAATAAATAAGTGAAGGAATGTTTGTACATTTTTGATAACTGCAAAAGAAAAGAGACTATCGATTGGTTTACAGTATATTAGAATTCTGCAGTTTTATTTTATGTATCTCTGCTTGCGTACACTATTGTTTATTATTATTCCTTTGGTATATAAGTGGGACATTTCGCCCTGCTGTATGAAGTCCTCTTCAGCCGGCCCCACGATTAGCCATAAGTTTCTATGTCGCCCTCTTCACACAACCTTCTCCATGTGACCCTCTGACAAACGCCCAATTCGTCGTTTCCCGTTCGGGTTCCACTCGATGGCCTACTTGCCCTGTGATTTCACCCTACGGTTTCCTCGTTGAGCAATAAGTTCTGCGTTCGTTCGTTCTTTCGTTCCCACAGTTTCGTGTTGCTAATTCTTTTGACCAGCCATCTGATCTTTAGTGTATGGAGTGAAGCGAACAGTTGTCGATAGAAGTCTGCAACCACTATATTACTTTGTTTATAAGATGTATTACACAGTGAGTGAAGCTGTATTATTTACTGGATGACATTGTTTCAAAAAAAATTTATTGTTCATAATCATATCATCAGTTATAATCACACCACTTCGAAACTTAAGTTTTATAGTTTTGTTTGTCCTCTCCTATTTATTGTTTTTAGGGTAGTAGAATTTTCCAGATATCTGGGACAGGTGTTGAATCATTCCTGTTACATGTATTTGCAGCTGATTCGATAAACAAAGCTTCTGTTATCCATCTCTCCCTCCATTCACCCAGTGACATTAGATTTTAAAACGGTCATATTATCCCATCATCCTATTGTATGGTTGTGTGTAATTGCATGTAGTGAGTGCTATAGCTAAACTATTCTCTAGATTTCTTATCATACTAGGGTCAACCAATCTAGATTTTGGTATGTTTTTATACTCCGCTAGTCTGACTGACTGACCCTGTTCTACTAGTCTAACCTATGTATTTGACGTGACAGTAATTGCAGGGTATTAGATAAACCAAATTGTTTTGTTTTAAAGGCTCCACCATTTAACCGACAAAGCTTGTTTCTAACTGAGTTTTTGGGTGGTTTGAATGCCAGCCACTTTTATTCCTGCTTGTATTGTTAAGAATTTTGCGTAAGCTTTCCGAGGTTCCTTCATTGTATGGAATTACTAGTGATGATTTAGATTCCTTATTGTTGGGGTCGTCACTATTACTATTATCATTGTTATTGCTATCATTATTATTATTATTATTATTATTATCACTATCACTACTGTCATTATTTATTTTAATTTTACATTTACCTACATACTTTCTGATTAATTTATCAGGGTAATTATTAAGTTTCAAAGCTTCTTTTATATGCCCCACTTCCTGTCTTATATTTTCCTTGGTACTATTTAGTTTTTGTGCTCTGTCACTTAAACATTTCACCAATCCTTTTTCCACTGACATAGGATGGGATGATCTGAAGTCCAAATATCTGTTTGAATGTGTGGGTAAATGTGGGTAAACACTAGTGTTTAACATCCCATCTTCTTTCTTTTTACGTTGCAATCCAACATTGAAAGTTCCCCTTCCTGACTTTCCAATTCACAAGTGAATTGAATTGCCCCCCCCACGTTTGAGTTAATGTGTTAGAAAAATATACCTATATCTTGCGTTCTAAGTACAGTGAATGTGTCATCTACATACCTCCACCATACTTTTGGGTTGGGAGTTGGTGGGTGAACGTTTCAGTTGCTATCTTTCCCCACCTATCCATGAATATTTCTGCTACAACCGGGGTATATTTGTGATCCTATGGCAACTCTATCAGCTTGTTTGTATATTTTTCCCTGGACTTTAAATACTGTGGAATTACTTACCACGACAGTGCCCAAGTTACACACATATATTAATCTGCAACCACATGTTAGAAATGCTTTTCTTGACACCAGTGCTAATCTACTGACTCATTGAAAAAAGAACTAACTGATTTAACACTTGGTGTTGAAGATTCAGATATTTTTTTTGTTCGCTTTGCTAGGTGCATATGATTTTTTAACTGATCTCAGAGTTATAAAGAGCTGCGTTGCCTTTCCGATTGTGGTTTTGACATTCTCATCCGTGGAGCCGTCTGTTGTTGAAACAATAGTGCCTAGGTAAGTGAAAAAAGTGACCTCTTTCAAATTCATGTCGTTGATAGTGATTGGTGCTTGTTGTTGTGCCTTAGTTGTTATTCGCAAAGTCTACACTCTTCGTATCGGTTTAACGTATTCTAGCTTTTATCGCTGCTCACAGTCTGATGCATAATCCAATTCGCCACAATAAAAAAAGTATCATCAGTGATAGAAGGCAGGCAGCTTTGTCTTACTCCTGTCTCCATTTCAAAGGCTTTGCAGAGTTTTCCATTGTGGATTACTTGTGTGCGTACACTTTTCAATAATAATCAAGGTTGGAAAGACAGCTAGGTCATTTAGACTATTAGGAAAAAAATATACACTCAACGAACAGACTCTTATGTGACTGCAAGTAACCGACATACATGCTGGGTAGATTATTCAAACACATTTGAACAAATGTCTCCAAATACTAGTTCACTCATAATCCTATGTCTTTTCATGGATTTTAATAAAGCAAGAACAACAGTGGAGGTTTGTGCAGAATAATATGGTACCATCACTGCTTATTTCGTTGGCTTCTCATCAGCTCAGCTGCCGCTTACAGCCTAAATAAATTATGAGGTTTACGTACAGAAAATTTCGTTTAACATACTTGCGAATTTTACATGTTGTCAGTTGACAGAAAGTTCCACAATTAGTGGACAGTGCTCAGAAAATTTCGCTTATATAGTTTTTACGCGGGCAGTTCAGGTCAAAATAAATGTATGCATTCAATGGTGAAGGAGTTACGTAATAAAGACGAGATATGCGTAAGATGCTGAACGACTTATAAATTAAGTAACAATGTACTGACTTCAACTCAAATCATACAAACAAGGGACAAGCGAAATTACAGATTATAAAAGGAGGGTAAGGTTAAAGACAAAGATTAAGTAATCAGATGAGAGAATTAAGACATCCAGTTACCAGGGTGACAAGGAAAGAATAATAACTGCTTCTTTCTGAACAAGCGTTTGATAGAAATTACTTCGGCAAATTTGAGGAGAATGGAGCTCCTTTGCTTATTGATAATTTTAAAGGATTTCGCGATTTCCACCTCATGACCGTATCGAGGAGGTGTCTGATAATAGTGCTATTATAAAGTTTGTTCCCTGAAGACGTAGGCTTTTCGGCACATGTTCAGAAAATCGAAGGTGTGCCCTTCTTTCTGTTGTCTCAATGTAACTGCTCCTGCAATTGTATGCATACATTTATTTTGACCTGAACTGCCCACGTAAAAACTATATAAGCGAAATTTTCTGAGCACTCTTCACTTAGTGTTGAACTTTCTGTCAACTGACAACATGTAAAATTCGCAAGTATGTTAAACGAAATTTTCTGTACGTAAACCTCATAATTTATTTAGGCTGTAAGCGGCAGCTGAGCTGATGACAAGCCAACGAAATAAGCAGTGATGGTACCATATTATTCTGCACAACCCGCCACTGTTGTTCTTGCTTTATTCAAATTCATCAAGGGGAATAATTGCATGAAGTTTCTTTTCAAGTACCTAGCATCTTGTCGTCTAGATTTTGTCAGTCAATGAATCTTTCTTCGAAAAATTTACTATCAAGTCTCACAGTTGTATATACAAGTGTATGATTTTTTTTCAAGAGACTATATCCTGTAAGGAAATGCGATTATTATCTGTGTGACTGTCTTATTCCTTTGCGTTCCGAGTGAAGCATAGGACTTCAAGCTTCAGCTATAAAGTTTCGATAGCAGTGGTGGTTTTTAATTTTACTGGCTAGGGCTTCCTGGCCACACATCCAAACTCCTCAATTTGTCGGGCTTAGAACAACCTGAGAGAGGTAAAATTGTACGCCGAGCGGTAATCGACCCCTCGCTTAATCATAAACACACCATGTTTATGATTGTAATCATACTTAAATATCAATCAGTTAAATGAAAATATTGTCTCA